TCAACGCCTATGGCTGCAGTCAGGACAAATGGTCTGATTTCGGAATATTTTTCGCTCTACAGGGGGACGAGGCAGGGCTGTTGCCTGTCACCCTTCCTGTTTGACATTGCGATCGAACCGCTGGCAATTGCTATCAGATCTGATGAGAGGATTAAAGGTATATCCAGGGGTGAGGTAACTTATAAAACTCTGCTTTATGCTGATGATCTCCTTTTGCAGATATCAGACCCAATTGGGAGTATGCCCCACCTTTTCCGCTGGCTGCGGGAGTTCAGCAACATATCGGGGTATAAGGTTAATTTATCAAAATCTTTACTGTTTCCATTGAACAATCTGGCAAAACAGACCACTTATGACGATTTGCCTTTTAAAATTGAAAATGACAAATTCACATATTTGGGACTGGAAATAGCTGGCTCGATTAAGACTATTTTCCAGTATAACTACAGGTCTATTCTGGACAGTACTAAATCTGATCTGGGTAGGTGGTCAAAACTTCCACTTTCGCTGGCAGGACGGATAAATGTGGTGAAGATGACTGTAATGCCCAGGTTTCTTTATCTATTCCAAATGATCCCCATCTTTCTCCCCAAATCCTATTTTGCCCAGCTGGATCGCTTTGTCTCTTTGTTCATATGGAACAAAAAACCTGCACGCATAAGGAGAGCAAGCCTGGAGAGAGCTAAAGCTGATGGTGGTTTGGGCTTACCTAATTTCTTATTCTATTATTGGGCTGCTAACATTGTCAAGCTGACATATTGGATAACCATGTTTGCGGATGGGGAGGGTCCAGTCTGGGCAGATATGGAACTGAGAGCTACACTCCCAATCTCTCCGATTTCGATCTTAACTGCCCCTCTCCCACTGAATGTCAAAGCATCTGGGCTGAACTCCAATTTGGTGGTTCAAAATTCAATTAAGATCTGGGGTCAATTCAGGAAACATTTTAACTTGACAAATACTTGTAGCTTTTCTCCGATAATGTTCAACCATCTTTTTACACCATCTCAAATAGATCATTCATTTGCAGTCTGGCACAGAAACGGTCTGGTTTTCTTTCAAGATCTCTTCACTGAGGATGGCTTTGTCTCATTTAAATATTTGTGTGAAGACCATAACTTACCAAAGTCTCACTACTTCAGATACCTTCAGGCTCGGAGTTTTGCCTCTAAATTTCTCCCAGGGTACCCGTCTCTGCCCTCTAAGGACCTACTGTATCTAGTTCTTAATGTGAGTCAGCCCACTAAAAGAGCAATATCGAAGATTTATGCATTGATTCTTGAAAGCTGCCCTCATACATGGGACAAACCTAAGGCGGCGTGGGAAGGGGAGGTTGGAGAACTCATGTCAGAAGACATCTGGAAGAAAGCCATACAGCGTATACATACGTCTTCTCTCTGTATTAGACATGGCCTGATTCAATTTAAGGTCGTCCACAGGCTCCACTATTCTAATGACAGACTGTCTAAACTGTACCCTGATGTTGCACCGAATTGTCCTAGATGTGATTACTCTCCTGTTTCTTTGGGGCACATGTTTTGGTCATGTCCCTCCCTGTATGGTTTCTGGACATCAATTTTTCAATCACTGTCAGCTATATCGGGTGAAACACTGCGGCCTGACTCTTTGATAGCTATCTTCGGTGTACCTCGGGAAGAGCTGAGACTCTCTCCCCTCCACAAAAATGCAATAGCCTTTGCCTCGTTGCATGCCCGCCGTCTGATACTGCTGAGCTGGAAGGCGTCGAACCCTCCTTCCTACGTCCATTGGATTAGAGAGGTGATGTTGGGATTAGCTCTGGAAAAAATTAGGTATACCGTGCGCGGCTTGGAGAGTAAATATGACAAAACCTGGTCACGGTTCATAACTCATGTCAAGAGTCTGTCTTTTGCCTGATTTATTGTTCTTTACTTGTTGGTAATTTATGCTCTTGCTCTCTTCTCGGACTGCTGTCCATAGTCTCCTCAATGCCCGTACTTTGACTGTTGGGATTTCTTTATTCCCTTTTTCTTCTTTGTTTCTTCTCTCATGTGCCGGGGTCCGGCTGTTGGTGCTATAATGACTGTCACAGATTGGTTTGAGTGTTTCTCCCCTTTTTTTTTTTTTTTTTTTTTTTGTGTTGTGTGTATTGTGCTTCCTGGTTGTGGGGATGCCACCTGGATGGGGTGGGGGGTAGGGTTCGCAACTTTTGTAAGAAATTCTGGACTGTTTTGTTGGAAAACTATAAATAAAGTTGTAAAAAAAAAAAAAAAAATCCAGACTTTGCAAAGAGAAATAAGGTCCAGCTAAGTAGAATTCACAGTATTTTTGCCTATATAATATGAACTCTAACCAATCAGACTTCCTAGTGCTATATTTTAACTTCAAACATAAAAGAAAAAGTGTGCTGCTCACCTTGTGGAAGATACTTTTGGAGGATGTGTGATGCCTCGTTTCTACTTTCCAACGCTCTGATGCTTTCTAATCCTCTTATACTCAGTGGACAATGTGATGCTGGGGAGAAAAGCGAATATGACTGCTGACCCTCTTCGATGGTAAATCCCATAACTTCTACACGACCATAAAGACAGGTCAGAAGGCACTTCCCGCGGAAACACAGCGTCTGCAGGTAAGACATGTTTAATCACAGAAATTAATTGACATCAGATTAAACATCTACATGTCCAACTAAAAATCAACTGACGCATACCTGATCCTTCTGCATGACAAGTACTGTGCGGTTCTCTCGATCGTCTCTCTGCGCACAGTGATGCAGAGCCTCTCCCTCCAATCGACCTCTCCGGACATCCTCAGTGTTATCTGAGGTCTCCATACCATTCCCATGCACTGACTGGGAATACTCCTTCCAGTCCTGTGAGTCATCTGAGTCATTGTCCATGGTAAACACTGAGCTTCCATTAGCCTGAGCATGTGTCTTCTTAATTCCAGACTCAGAAGAGCTATTCTTGTGGTTAGAGACAGACTTCACTTTATTTTTCAGCCTCTTGACAGATGTTTTTTTCCTTACAGACTCCTGGTGCTCCTTCACCATGCTGATCACCACAGGGCTAGAGTTTACATTAGAGAAACTGACGGGAGGTCTGCACCGTTTTCCCTTCGCATCTTTCCACTTGTGAGATTTATGTTTTACCTCTGTGTGTTTGTTCACTTTCATGATTGTCAGCAGTCAATTAGGTAAAAGAAAAATGAAAAGGTGAACCTGCAAAGAAAAGGATGCACTTCATCAACTTAAGAATAAAGAATGGAAACAAAGCATTTACACTCAAGCAATTATTAGTTTAGTTCTGTGGAACCCATCTAGTTTACTTAAAGAGCAACTTTATTTCATGGCATTTAACCTTTGCACAGAGATTTTTATTGTAATAATATGATAATTATTATAATAATCTTCAGTTATTTTTAATAAGTGTTCATCTATCCCGATGCCTGGTTATTTGTGCATTGAAACTGTTGCAGTCAAGTTCCCTCTATGGTGTTAAACATCAGTATTAGCTTCCATCACAGGTAGCAGACAGTTTATGCTTAAGCTGACTTGTCTGCTTATATCTTATTGAGTTCAGTTAAATCCACAAAGAGCAGCAAATGTCAGAGGAGCAGTGGTGCAGGTCAGCTGATCACAACACACGCAGAGGAGCTGGTGAGTGAAAGGAGAATGGTGGCTAAGCTGCCATCCCTGCTGGACAACATCTCCCACGCCATTCAGGAGACTCACAGCACTGAGCAGCTCCTTCAGTGGTAGGCTGCGGCTCCCACATGATAAAGGTTATCTTATCTTAAACAAATCTACTCAAGCTCACAACACATGTTTTTGCATTTGTTATTCCTAAGGGACATTTTTTCCCCAATGTTGTAGGCGATATTAGGGTTTGTTTGTTTGTTTGTTTTTTACATTTAATCTAACTTGAGTATTTTTCACCTCTTGGAGTCACTTTATAAGACTCTTAGAGTCTTTATAAGACAGTAAGACTGTTTTTATTATGTTTATTTTAATTTTAAAATGACAAGGCATAGAAATTTACATCAACACTCCATCATTTAAGATTAAGTCATGCAGGCTCAGTTTCATATGCAGGTTTACAGCATTTATTCCATAGACCAGAAAATCATACTAAACAAACATTGAAGGCCACTTACAAAAACCCACGTGCAGGCTCAAAAAGCCCATGAACACAGCTGCACTACTTCAGGTTACTCTTTGTTTACGTTATTCTTTTAAAATTGTGTTTACAGTTTCAGCTGCTGTAACACAGGAACTACTCCACGTTTGTGATGAATGCAGTACATCTTCTCTTAGATTAAATAATCCTGTTTATAGTCTTGTTTTAACATATCCGTTAGCCAGAGCTAGCTTTCTTTTCCAGCCACAGCTCAATATAAATGAAAACTAAAGCCAAATATGTCGGTTTTCCACAATCTCTCAAAATGTGAACAGAGCAATGAATAAAATCACCTTCACGCAGTATGACAAGAATGCAACCTCAATTTTAAACTTGGGTTGAAGTTATCAAGACCAACTTCACCTAACACCGCCTCAAAAACTAGCATTAGCTGCTAGCTAACGTTGTTGCTTCCCGAGAAAACACTGTTTTAAAACAGATGGCACAAAGCTGTAGTTATAATCCCTGTGCCTTGGCTGCGAACATGCACAAGTAATGTTTATAATTATCTTAAGAGACACTAAAGAGCTGGTCACTTGTTATTGCAACGGTGCTAACAGGCTAATACTTACATGTGTGAGCCGCAGATAGACGCTGAGTCCGGATGGTCAACTATGACTTTACCCGAAGTGTTATTATCTGCTAAAAGAAGCGTCTAACAACTTAATTAACTTTTTTAGTTTTTTTTCCCCCCCAATACGTCGATAATATTACATACAAATGGAGCTACGAGTAAGAATATGGTTAGTCTCAGATTGTGATTAATCTAATCGTTAATATTTTAACATTGTACGATATAAAACATTCCCGGAGTGCGGTCGCATAAACAGCGTCACATCCTGTTTCACTTCGCACTTTTTAGGGGCCTACAAGAAACGAAAACAAGGTGCACGAAGCTAGGTTTTTTCTGTTTTATCACTCTGGCTCATGTGACGCCCGGATCGTGTGCAGGTTACAGAGAGGCCCGTCGTGTTTAATCGTGTTTTTAATCGGAAAGTCAAACGCGAACTGAAGCTGTCTGTTGGACAGCGCGCTAAGGGAGCGTCTTTAAAGAGATGTGCTAGGAACTAAACGTGGAAGTGCAAAGTGGGTGAGAGTTTGCAATTATTTCACGAATGCTTTTTCGAATATGAACACTGAAAATGCACTAGGGTATGTTTAGACTTTATTTTAAAGGCAGCTCAATAAATGTTGTAAATATAAGGACAATAATTTAAATCTAATAATTATTTAATTTGTCCATCTAATATTAAGAGCGATGCTCAGTACATACTTTAAAGTACAGGGTGGGCCATTTATATGGATACACCGTAATAACATGGGAATGGTTGGTGATATTAAAGTCCTGTTTGTGGCACATTAGTATATGTGAGGGGGCAAACTCCTCAAGATGGGTGGTGACCATGATGGCCATTTAGAAGTCGGCCATCTTGGATACAACTTTTGTTTTTTTCAATAGGAAGAGGGCCATGTGACACATCAAACTTATCCGGTTGTTCAGTCTGACGTCACTAGCCGTGTCTGGGTCTAAACTCCGCTGCAGGTCCATATATCAAACGATCACTATGGCATTACTGAGAGTTGAAAAACTGTCTAAAGTCTTTCATCTTTAATAAAATGATCAGCGTTCTGCTCTACCAGGTGTAACAATTGAGTTTAACATCCAGGCATCCATGAAAACGGAATTTATGACATTTAACGGAGTTAGAAGTTAGCAGGGAGTTAGCTCGCTAGCTTCTATCTAAATACAATATAGCATGTCCTGACTGCGGGGTTTTGGAAACAAATTAAAACGTACAGCTCTGTTATCACTTCCAGCATAAATGAAGACAGAAAACTAAACAGCAGTAACGTTTGTAGGGTTACTGAAGTTGGGCTAGCTGGTATATAATGATGTGCTGCGTGACCGCTAGCGACACAGCTATGTTAGCATAATATAAACAAGCTAACTTTTTTTTCCACTCGATAAAAGTTACCGTGAGTGTTCTCGGTGGTCAGGAACAAATGTAATCGCATGTCAGGATGCTGTAAAAGGACCAAACTTCAGCCAGGAGAACAACTGAGATAATCCATCCACAATACGAGGTTAGTCATTCATATACTGCTGCATGGGCTGGGCTGTAGTTACATCCTAAGGTTTTAAAAACTGAGCTTAAATAAATGATTAGCGGTAATAAAAGCCGAGGGAGGTCAACAGTGATCACTGACTGTTTTAGGAGCTTTTTGAGATCAAATAGAAGAAAATACATAACATTAAACATGTTAACAACACAAAAGCCATATTAAACGCAGACTACTTTAGGCCCGGAAGTAGGATTCGTCGTGTCATCACTGAACAACCGGATTGGTAATGTCACAAGAAAAACAATGGGGTGCAGGGCTCGCAAAATTTCAGGGACTCTTCAGTTTTTGGTAGCCCAAAATAAATTTAAGTAGCCCAAATAAAAATAAAAAATTGATTGATGTTTTGTTTCCTTTACAATATTATACATTAAAGTAATATTAAAGTAATATTGTAACGGAAACAAAACATTAATCAAAAATAGTTGAAACACAAATTACAACATTGTATAAAAATTACAATCATCAACTCAAATACTTGGTTCTAATTGAACAGAAATTTCTATGAACTTGTAAGAACTGTGTAGAACATGAATCAGTCTGTGTCAGATCCTGAATTTGAAATTTCCACTGAAGTCACGGGTAAGAGGCAAGTGGAACCAACATCTAGGCCATTTGCTTTTTGAAGTTTGCAAAGACTGCTAAATTTTGCCAGGGGTAGTTCACTCTTTGCAACATAGTACGCTGTTCTAAACAGATTTTTCAGGTTTATTTTTAGTATGTTATTTGCAATTGGTGTTTGTTCTGGGAAAGATATTGCAGACTGAGCAATAATGCATTTCTTGCATTTCTCATGGGTTCTAATGGGGGCCTTTCTTAAAATTACTGGTCCCAGTAACAAAGGCGCTTGTCGACTCAGAAATCGAGGGAAAACCAACAACACACCCGGCAGAACATTATGTTATTTACACGGGTGCACATCAGTGGTCCGCATGTGCGCATTCGCTGTCAAAATAAAACCAGATAATTAGTTGCAACGCGGTTTGCGTCCACATAAAAGGCACGGGTTTTGTCCGCTAGAGTGGGATTTTCACGGCACATTTGTTTGAAGCCAGCTCACCTCCTGCAACCACTTTTCCGAGAATACGCGCTTCTTTTGTGGTTCGGACTCCTTCTGAGGTGGAGGAAAACCAAAGTAATTGCTTAAAGGAGCTTGCTTCTTCGACATCTTTAAGAGTTCTAAACAAATGTCTGTCCTCCTCCAGAAAATCTTAAGCACGCAAACACGCGTTGCAACTTCTTATCTTGTGCGCGTTTTGTATTTTGACAGCGAATGCGCACCTGCACCACTTATGTGCAGCCCTGGTTATTTAGCTCGTCATATTGCAGCCATAGAAATTCTTTTGTCCATGAAACCATAAAGCTGCACTTTCTTTTTGCCTTATAGTCTGATTTGTCATAACTTTTCCGTTTTGTGGTAAGCTTTTCTTTGGCTGTCACTTCTTCACCCTGACCTGTCTTATCCTGCTGCTTTTACACACACACACACACACACACACACACACACACACACACACACACACACACACACACACACACACACAAGCTCAGCGATTCTCTGCGCGATCAACCTCTCACATGTTTAAGCTTGCTGCGGGAGATTTCACTTGTCATGTTTGCATAGTAAGCTAACGATTAATAAGACGATGTCAGAGGAATTGGTGCGCAAATTATCATCACTCACCAATCAGTGCTGTCGCCCTCTATACACAGTTCGCGCGAATGCAAAGTGAAAGCAAAAAACAAGCGCAAATTCAAACGCGATTTCAATATGTCACATATTGACAGTGGCCAATGACATAATTACCCAGCTACATTTCCGAAAGAATGCAAAAGCATTGACATATATTTTTCCTTCCTATGATAGCCCGACGGTAGGGGTGGGTTTTTATAATCGATTCATCGATTATAATCGATTCTGGCTTGGATAACGTAAAATCGATTCATTCAAATCCTGAATCGATTTTTTAATATAAATTTATTTTGCCCGAAATGCCAGAATTTCTGGTGACATCTCACAAAATTTCAAGAACCACCAAACAGTTAAGACAGTAAATGAGAGCAGGTACACGGATTCTGCACATAGACTTAAACACACAGCGCGACCCGCGGATCAGAATCAGTTAGATGTCGCCTTTCTCACAGTCGGGGCTTAAAGCCGACAGCTCGCTGATTCTGATCTGTCGGCGGGTCGCGCTTTGTGTTCACGCCCTTTGTGCGCTGATTCTAAAGCTGTTAGTTTGATGTCTCTCCAAACAATATTGACCGAACCAGCAGCAAAAGAAGATCCAAACGCTTCACATAAACATCGTCATGAATTCACTCTGACTTTTACTGTTTTGCTTCCATCGCGATGCGCAGCTCTCTCGCCCTCTCTCTCTCTCTCCCTCTCTCTCTCTCCCTCTCTCTCCCTCTCTCTCTCTCTCTCTCTCCCTCCCTCTCCCTCTCTCTCTCTCCCTCTCTCTCTCTCTCTCTCTCTCTCTCTCTCTCTCTCTCTCTCTCTCTCTCTCTCTCTCTCTCTCTATACTTTAAGAACAGTTTCCCTTTCTTCATTATTCGCTTGCTTGTTACACAAGTCTACTGTTGCTTACAGCGCTGTCGGCTGCTGTTTTTTTCCCTTTTACATTCTTCCGAAAAGAAAACCTCATTTCTGCTGTTCAATACTGAACAAATTTTAACTTTTTAAAATTATTCAAAATGCCAAATGCTTAGCCATGTCTCTAATAAAACCGCTGTAACGTCAGAGGTAATGTTGATTAATTAATGGTTTTCTTTCGTTTTTGATGTACTGCAGAATATTTTTATAAAATCCCAGGCCAGGAAAATCACCTTCATGTTTTTCTGTGTTTTATCTTCAGCTACTTTGACACAAAGGCATCTGCTGTGACGCTCACACCTGTGATAAAGTCTTGCGTGTGTCAGCTTCCTTTTTATTGATACAAAAATATGTAAATGTACTGATCTGAATTATATTTCTGACTGTCAAAATTTCCCAGATTTAAATCGAATCGAATCGAATTAAATCGAATCGTGGATCGAATCGATTCGGGACCTTGTGAATCGGAATTGAATCGATTCTAGAAATCAGTGACGATACCCAGCCCTATATAAAAGTAACGGTGTGGGGTTTTGAACACATTTTGTGTAATTATAACAATATGTAATTTATGACCCGGTTACACATTCAAATGTCTTTTTTTGAACTCACACACACACTTGATTCTTCAGTCAGTGCAAATACAGTACTGTGCAAAAGTCTTAGGTTACCTCTCCTTTAAATTTTGCTAAGAAAATGAGAAAAAGATGCTAAGGGTTATTGAATGAGGAAATAAGGCAAAAACAGAGTTTTTACAGTTCTGTTCTATAACATAGCTCGAACTCTCATAAGCAGCTTTCTTGACATTTCTTAAGTAGTTTTCAGTTTTCAATTACGACACGAAAGAGCCGATAGATACAGAAAAAGGTTCAGACATCTTCGTACCCCACTTAGCTCCTCGCATAGTTTGATGTGAATACCAAAAATCCTAATTACATATGCAACGACCCCTCTGCTTTGCAATTTAACAAACAGCTGATGGTTCACTTTGTCAAATGCTTTGGGCGCATCTAAAAAGCACATAAAACGGATGTGTTCTGTCCCTATATTTGTATATATATTTATGTATGGATCAGTATAATGCTTACTCTTAAAACCAACTTGATTATCAGTTGTTGTTATATGCTTTTGAAATCTGTGTTCAAACACTTTAGAAAATACATTTGCCAAGGCAGTTGGTCTCTAATTATCAATTCTAGAAATCTTCCCACTTTTATCTTTTACTACTGGCACTAACGGAAATGATAACATGGAATCAGGTAAAATACCATCAGTTTGAAATGCTGTAAAGCACGTTTAGAGTGACATGTGGACTTTTTGACTAGGTGCTCTGCTGATAATTTGTCTAAACCACACGCTTTGTTTGATGTGTCTCATTTACCAGCCATCTACAGTGAAGCAGGAGGGATGTCTGCAGCAGAGAGCAACCATGCGCAACGTGTCCTGTCTGCCCTGAACCAGCAGAGGGCAGTGGGCAGGTTTTGTGATGCATCATTGAATGTGGGAGACGGGGTAGTGTTTCTTGCTCATCGCAACATCCTCGCCTGCTTCACTGAACTCCTCCAGCAGTCAAACATGCCTTCTGCAACAGAGTTCTGCCTGCAGGGATGCCCCAGTGATGGCTTGGAGCTGCTCCTAAACTTTGTCTACACCGGAGAGCTGAAGTTGGATCCTCACAACCTGGACAGAGTCCAGCAGGCAGCAGCCAGCCTGTGCGTACCAGAGGCACTCACACGCTGTCAGCAGTTCAAGGAGACCTCTAAGGAGCCTGTGCCTGTCAAGCGTAAAAGAGGTAGACCTAGAAAGTCTGCCTCAGACATCACGAAATACGAGCCCACCATTGATACTGCTGCAGCCAGTTTTACCACTGCTGCCACTACTACAGCAACCACCACACGCTCTGGCCGAGTAGTGAAGAGCTCCAGGCGACTTGTGACTATCGATGAGAGCCCTACAACGGAAAACGAGTTGGCCCCGCCTCTTCCTGTGGAGAAAGAAGTTGGTGATGCAGTTGTTGAGGAAAATCAAAACTCAGATCAGCTAGCTGGTGAAACTGAGGTAGAATACAATAACATAAGCATGAAAAAATATTTCAACGACGGGGCATTTGTGCGGATAATAATGAGTGTGTTTTTAAAGAGGAATATAGATGTTTTTATTACACCTGTCTTGCAGGTAACGGAGCTGCAGATTAACGACAATGTTATTAGCCAGGTAAGTGGGGGAGTGGAAGCAGAAGACGATAATGATGACGTGGGTATTCCGGAGGAGATTCCCGAAGACACAGATGAGGAGTATGTGCCTGCTACTAAGCCCGCTTCCTCAACCACATCCCCGTCTATGGCGACTGGACAGAAATGCAAGGCCCAGAGTCAAAAAAACAAAAACAAGAATGGTCAGACGATGGAGGACGATTCTAAGAAGGCCTCCGTGCAGTGTTCCATCTGCTTCAAAGCCTTCAAGAGCAAATACTACCTCAAGGTTCACAACAGGTACAGGGTGTCACCTTTTTTTTCTTTCGAAATGCTCTTAAAAGAGTAAACTAATGTCTCATCTCCACAGGAGGCATACAGGGGAGAAGCCCTTCGGTTGTCTTAAATGTGGAAGACGGTACTACAGGAAGGAGAACCTTTTGATACACGAGATGAGAGACTGTTCTAGTGCGCTGGTGAGTAAAGAAAATCACCCTTTCACGCTTTCTCCAACCCTCACTATGAAGAATCCTCAGTGTTTTTACTTTTATAATTCCAGACGTACACCTGCCTCATTTGTTCTACTACATTTAACACAAAAGAAGCGCTACGATTGCATACTGTCACCCACACAGGAGAAATGCCCCACAAGGTACAGCATACACCTAACAAAAAGCGTAACTGAGTATGTCACAAACCTGAAGTGAATATGAAGAATGTCTTCGTCACATTTTGCAGTGTTCAACATGTCCTGAACAATTTATGTACAAGAAAAACTTGACAGTTCATATGATGAAGGTGCACGGTTACCCCAAACCACATGCAGTAAGTACCTACAGTCAGCAGCACCTTCAGTATGTCATTTCAAACTCACTTTAACACAAATTTTGGGGATTTATGTTTTGATTGTGTTGCTGTGTTTCTAGTGTTCCCAGTGTCCCAAAACCTTCTTAACTCGTGCGGAGCTGCGTGTGCACGAAGCCGCCAAACACCGTGGAGAAAAGCCGTTTGTGTGCGAGGAGTGTGGCCATCGGGCATCTAGTAGAAACGGCCTGCAGATGCATATAAAAGCTATCCACAGGTTGGAGAGCATGTTTTCTGTGAATTTCCTCTTGAGGATGAATAAAAGTGTAAACGACATAAAGTTTTAATGAAAACTATTTTAAGTCTGTTTTGTTCTTGCTCACAGAAATGAGCGCCCTTTTGTCTGTAACTCGTGTGGCCACGCCTTCTCCCAAAAGAACAACCTCAACATGCATCTGCGTATACACAGTGGCGAGAGGCCATACCAGTGTCACCTCTGCGGGAAAACCTTTAGGACACAAGGTAACAGCCATATTCTCTGCACATAAGCACTTTATTCACCTTGTATCCACCCCTGTGACACATTTAGAATCAGTAATTTGCCTAAAAGAAGCAAAAGAAAGATCTCATGCATCTCAAACTAAGACCCTACTTGCTCTGAGGTAATGCTGTGCCACCCAAACGTCCCTACATTACTATCGATGGGGTCCGGTGTGTTTTGTGCTTCTAAGAGCAATCACTTAGCCGTTTTGCTGTCTTTGCAAACTTTCACTTTAACTGCAGATATTGTGATTTGTGTTAATCTCTGTATTTCACTGCCAGCCAGTCTGGATAAACACCACCGGACTCACACCGGCGAGCGGCCCTTCGGCTGTGATGTCTGTGAGCAGCGCTTCACAGAGAAAGGCGCTCTTCTCCGACACAAGGCCAGCAAGCACGAGGAAGGCCGCCCCCACTGCTGTCACATCTGCGGTAAAACTTTCAAAGGTCAGGTGCTGATTCTACAATAAATTTGTTGTTACTCATGACCTGTGCCCTGATGAATGAAGCGCTGCTAATGAAAGAATCACTGGTGAAGTGATTTCTTCTTTATTTTCTGGTCGTTCTTTTCTCCTTCAGCGAGGGAGCAGCTCCGTGTCCACCTGCGTCGTCATAAAGGCATGAGGAAGTTTGAGTGTGTAGACTGCGGCTACAAGTTCACTCGACAGGTTGGTTCCAACACAGTTTCTTCATCATCAGCAAGCTCATTTTGCAGAGCCCTAATCTAACCCACCACAGGATTTATTATACACCCGAGTGTTTTAGTTTTAACCCTAATTTAACTTCAGGAAATGTGACTGAATCATAGTGGGAAGACAAAGAGATTAATAATTTTGATGGAGGTGGTTTTATTGTAGGATGTCTCCCATGCCAATTTTCATCACCATTCTGCTATTCACGCCAGATGGGACTAAAACCCATAATCTCCGTCTAAGAAGGCGAGTGGCACATGTATTAGCCACTCGGGCTACTGTGGATAGGGAGTGAGTGGACACAAATATCAACTTTCAGGGGCACGCTTATGTGAATGTGCCTGAGTGAATTTAGTGTGTCCTAATTCAGACTGTTTGCTTTGTGGTGTGATATTGGTCTATAACTGCTATTTCATACAAACAAGATTTTTTAGAAAAGAAATAAAAAAGATAAAAGCAAGTTTCAAAAAGTGCAAAGCAAAGTTCTTTGGTCATAAATATGAAAACTGGTAAAAATTTATAACTGAAGCTTTTATATAATGAAAAAAATAATCCATCTCTTTAGTTGCCATCAAAGTTCCAGGTAATTAAATTAATTACTTTTATATTATTTTTTGTAATCATTTCAGGTCTGTATCACTTGCATGGTTATTTGCGCACTGTCCCCATATTCAGACCCTTCTAATCTTTAATGTCATTCAGCAAGAATCACTAGTTTGTGGGCTTTTTTATGTCTGGCTATGACAGCTATATATTATATCTATCTTTCTAACGGGTTTATGTTTTTGTGTGACATTTTACAATTATTGGACTCTACTAAACTAAGTTTGCATGAGACACAGTTAAACATAATCTTCTTTATCTTATACTGGGTGTTTAGAGTCCCTTTCCCCTCCCTTTAGGCCAACTTTCTACTGAATGTCTGACCCTGCCACCAGGTGTTTGGGTGGGCCTTCTGTGGTCACAGCCAGGAGCTGTGTGGCTGAGACGACCATATTAAGAATGTGTAGAGTCTGAACTTTTCACTTACAGGGATATTTGTATAAACTTGACTGTAGACCAACATGACTATACTGTATATCTATAATTTTTGTGTTCTTTTTGAAGCATTCCCTCACTTGCATCATGTTAGTTTACCCAACTCTCACATTTTTACATTTCCTCTTCAGGCACATCTGCGGCGTCACATTCAAATTCACAAGCGCACTGAGAACTACAACCCGCGGCAGAGGAAGCTGAGGAATGTGATTGTGCAAGATGTGGATGGAAGTCCGGTCGAGACCGAAGCTCCCAAATCGGAGGAGGCCTCGCTGATCTGTGATGGGTCCACTCAGGAGTCCACAAACCGAGGAGCTGAATCCTCAACAGGTCTCACCTCTGGCTGCATCGTGAGGGTTGTGATTGAGTCGAGTGATGCGGTGATGGAGGAGGTTATTTCTAACCAGAACTTGGGAGAGGTCGAATCCACGCAGACTTTTCCTGTGTTGCAGCAAACACAGTTGGTTACTGAGCCCTATGAGTCCACGATAGACATGGAGGGAATTGTTGAGAATTTGTCAGAGAGCAAGACCTGAAGCGAGCAAATGTGCAAAACAACAAGTCTGCTTCTGCTTCCACGCATGCAAGAAAAGCAGATTCATGCACTCTGTAGTTTACACAGTAATTCAATTGCACGTTTTTAAATGCTGTTTGAATGTAAAATGTTATTTTCCACCTTGTTAAGACAGGTTTTGTCAGTGTGCTTACAGCAGCTGGAGCTCAGTGTCACCTTACATTGCTGATTAAAGGAGAACGTTTTCCGTGCAGTCAGAAAAGCATTTTCTTACTTTTGGTTACAATGTGGTTACAGTGTAACAAATGTAGTAGTTCAGTGTTTTTTTTTATTACGGTTCCTCCAGGTGGTGGTTTTGTACTGGACTGCATTATGTTTCAGGGTGTTTCTAATATTCTTTGAAATAGAAGAGTTGCAGAGCAGTAAAATTGCACAAGTGTGTAAAAAAAAAAAAGTAAAGGCAGTTAACAACCAATCATGAATGTAAACATCCATCCATCCATCTTCATCCGCTTTATCCGAGGCCGGTCGCGGGGGCAGCAGCCTAAGCAAAGGGAGGGGCTCAGAGTAGAGCAGCTGCTGCTCCACATCGAAAGGAGCCAGCTGAGGTGGTTCGGGCATCTGACAAGGATGCCCCCTGGGCGCCTCCTGGGTGAGGTGTTCCAGGCATGTCCCACCGGGAGGAGGCCCCGGGGCAGACCCAGGACACGCTGGAGAGATTCTATCTCTCGGCTGGCCTGGGAACGCCTTGGTATTCCCCCGGATAAGCTGGAGGAGGTGGCTGGGGAGAGGGAGATCTGGGCCTCTTTGCTTAGGCTGAATGTAAACAATGAATGTAAAATTATTTAATCTTTGATGGGTTTATTTTAACCTGGTGTCTTTCATATTAATGTGGCTCTATGGGCCATGCTAATTTTGCAGGTTCCATCTCCACTGGAATAGAAAATAGTCCTTAAAAACAATGTGGACAGTGATTTGTCAACAAAACATTATTATACACGTTATATTATATAGTTGTGGCTTACCTTTTCGTGTGAATTTAACACAAAAAGTGTGAAAACTAAGAATTGCTGGGATCCACCGATTGGGTCGATATGATGTGCCTTTTGTGCCAGAGAAACAATGAAATGCCTTCTAAAAAACAAAACTTTAACCACAAGGTGGCAGTATTTTACCAGAGCTTTAGTGCTGTTGTCTATTCCAAAAAGCGTTGAATTGTTTTATGTACTTTTGGAATTATTTTGTAATTTTTACAAATCCAATATTTCTATGTTAGTTTAAAACAAACCAAAACAAGCTGCTTAGGGAATTTCATTGAGCTACTAAAGTAACCAAGTAAGACGGTAACACCAACTTGACTATTTTGCGCAATGTTGGATTAAACATAAGTAAGTAAGTAAACATAAGTAAATAAAGTATCTATTATTATTAAACATTACACTGACTCACTGCACCATCTTGTGGTTCAAACTGGTATTACGGTCACATTTCAAGACGTCGACAGAACAGTTTATATTCAGTCTTTTTGGGTGTAACATCATAACTGTTGCTCATTTTGAAGGGTTTAATTCCTTTAATAATGTTTTAAATGTTTTTTATGAAATATTTTTTGTTGCAAAAATGATCCTTATCACATGGTTTCTGAACATTTAGCCAGAGTAAAACATTTAGAGAACAACAAATACCTGAAAAGTTCCCTGCAACTTTCCAAACCGTTATGTTTTTTCACGTTTACGTTTAAATGTTTGATTAAAATACTTGTGTTTGTTCCCTTCACAATAAGCAAAAGGTATCACAACAGGTAAAAGGCAAATTTTTGAGCAATTTATGTTAAATATTTGTCCCAAATCTCTGCAATGATGGTAGGGACTGCAAAGTCATAATGGCCACATACAGCAACTGCTGCCAGATAGAAGAATACCAAATTTCACCTGAAGGAAATGGTTTCAAAACATTTCTTAGATTTATATTATATATTTGGTGACAAGCTCGTCAGGATAAATTCTAGAGCACCTTTGATGTCTACTGGCCAAATTAATTTGTTTTCCTGATGCAACAGGTGCAGATTGTTTTTAAAATGTCACACAGGTTAATAATATTTCTTGAGATGTGCTTTTATGTTTTAGTGAGCTTGTGTTTATTTCAGTCTTTTGAAGCTACTGTCAACTGTTTCACTGAAATATTTGCTGCAACCTTGCTGAGAGCAAATCATTGTGACTCAGCAGAATAAACTACGTCAGACCTGCCTGCAGTTTAATTCATAGTAGCCACCGTGGAAACAGTGTACAAACACAGCAAATAAGGTTAAGAATATACTGTATTTACAAACCTGTTCAACATCACAGACTGAACACTGAAAACAATGGTGCAATGACAACAGCATGGAAACACACAAATATACTACTTCAAACGAAGCAAAAATATATCCTACTCGACAACAAACTGAGATTTTTTTTGCACTTCCAGTTGTAACTGACGACTCATCACCAGTGTTTACGAAGAGCCACTGATCTTTTTGCAGCTGATAGGCAGGAACTTCAGAAGCAATCACAGCACAAATATATCCATAAATAAGAAAACAGTATAACAGTGAAAACATTAAAACGTTAAACATTAAATGAAATACATTTTTAAAAAAAACTTCATGCATGGTTATAGAGGCTGATATAGCCCTGTTTAAGAGTCTAGAGTGTCATGAGGACGTGCCGTGCAGCCCAAGAATCACTAAAAACAGAATCAACTCAGTGCAAGTTAACATCACATGCAGCCAACTTGAAATTCTACTATGATGATTTCTCAGCACACAGATTTCTCCGGGTAAGGATTAACGTTTTAACCATACGGCTGTATGCCTGTTTAGTTCTGGATATCAATTTTTGATTTTGGAATGCAAACAGATTCTTGTGGTTTCTGTTAAAATATTTGGCTTTTACTTGTTAAAGAAATAATCCACTCAGAGCAAAACTGCTGCAAAACCAGAGATATGTTGTTTTTATTCCTCTCCTCACCCAAGCCTACGTCACCCATAATGCAGATTGTCTGCCAGTAGCAGCTAATGTAGCCTCGAGCTGCAGGCCTCTAGGAAGAGATGAGCAGCAGCTTCAGAGTTTTATTAAGCTCACTTACTTGTAACCCTTAGATTTACTTCATTTTAAAACTTCTTCATTTCTTCAAGCTTAACTATTACTGCCATTTAATCGTGTTTCTCGCAGCACCCTCTCAACTGTTTTATTCACATTTTGTGATCTGACTTTAATTTAGCAGATTTCGCTTTTAACTTTCACTTTTCTATGTTCATAAATGAAAAACAAAACAAACACCAACAGAAACTCATAAGTAACACACTGAACACAGAAATGTCCACACGCAGACACACCTCACCCTGTAGGAGATAACTCCCATCCACTGTGTAGTTGACATCAGCAGATAGTTCCCATAGAAAAGCTAAAGTTGATGCACACTGTGTGGACCTGTCTGATAACTCACTACATCTGTTTCAATTCTTAAGTGTGGTTTTGGCCACTGAAAATAATCTCCACTATAACTACAGTTCATGCATGGATGCTGGATACAGTGCCAACACAACAGGTCACATATAAACGCAGCTAGCATGATCTTACTCACTGGTTTACATACACCACCACTGGAACGTCAAGTTTAGCAAAGACACCCTGCTTTACCAGCTAATTTACTATAAACAGAACCATATTTTAGAAAATGCTGTACTGAAAGAAAAATAAAAGGGACTGAGACCATTAACTAGTCAGTTAAGTGTTTACTGATGCAATAAAGTTGAGAATTTGCATCGTTTCCTTTTATGCACAGCCACAGCTGACAAACGCCCACCTTCAATGCAAAAATTCCCCCGTTTTAATCTTTCTAATTTGAATTTTACTTTCAGTTGGTAATAATCTCAAAATGTATAAGCCAATGGTGAGTCCAAGCTCAAGGCCAGTAAGGCATTACTGACCAGCAGGAACTTTAACGGATACAACTTAGAAGTGACCCTGCACCATAATCCAGTTCTTCTTCACACCTGTATATGGCTCTTGCCAACCACTCAACAGGAGCTTTCTGGTCTCCAGCTGTAAGGGTAGTTAGGACCCCCATCACAATCTGGCACACCAGAATGATAACCTCTTTAAATATTTATTTTACCCAACAAACAGTCTAAAGCTGAATGTTTACAATGTGAATAAATATATAAATACAAAAAAGCACAGCTAAAGCTGAAACCATTGACATTTAACCTATTATAAAAATAGTTCCATCGATCAACTACATAATAAATTCATTATTTCAGCACTAACTCAAAGTGGTTTCTCTTGTATAACCAAAATAAACTGCATGCCTGGTTATTAAGCCACAAAACCAGCAGCTCTCTAGAGCTTTTGTACAGAGCCCCCCGAGAATGCAATCCGTGTAGTGGATAATGCAGTCCACTGGGGATACAAGGAGCCAAATGTTTATACAATATATATATCCATGTATAGACAATTTCTCACACATACTGGTAAAAGATGAATGTGGATTCCAGGCATATATCAAAAATCATAAGGAGGAGATTAAATTTGACCAATGCTGCCAAGATGTTTTACAGGTAAATTCATTATTGTGTAAGTGCTATAAATTCACAGCTGTGTGTAGTGTTTTCTGATAGAGACAAAGAGGTTTAGCGAGAGCTGGGTTGCCACTAGTATTAATATGCAAATAATCTCAAAAGGTGGTGAATGTGGTGAAACGACTTGGAAGTTGTGCACAAAACAATCAGGTGACTATAGAAAATAACAGGTATGCATTTCTGTAGTGCGTAAACATTACTTCACTCTAATCTGCAGAAGCTTATGAATGTTTTTCTTAGCATTGCTGATGTAACTTAGACTTTTCCCCCTGTGGGATAAATAAAATATCTGTGTGCATCTATCCATCTGGCTCCAGGCCTTTCTGTCCAGTCAACAGACTAAGACTAGCTCAGTCTTCTTTTCTGACTTTGACAGCTTTAGCAAAGCGATGAGGTAAATTCACAGTACACTGAGGGCACGATGAGGGAGAACATGGTCAATGGGGGTTTCGAGGTTTCGAGATCAGTGTGCCGCGTTCAGATCCTGATTCTGGTTGAGGTTATTGAGATTGTGGAGCGCGTGGTGTCGGTGATGCCGGTGCAGGAGAATGCCGTTTGACTCGGGTATGTCAGTGGGTTCGAATGCGCTCGACACCAGGGGCATGAACTGCCGGAAAATGCTGACGCTGCCATGCCAGAAGGTCGGCTGAGGTAATCGTCCAGCAAGACTCCAAGTGCGGGTGGCCGGGTCGTAGGCTTCTACGACATCAGACAGCTCAAACGTATTGTCGTAACCACCAGACACGTACAATTTAGCCCCCAGGGCCGCCACACTGCCTCCAACATGGACCTGAAAAAGAAAACAAAATTTTTAAGCATGTATTTTTGCTATAATTCATAATAATTTATACATCTAACAATAACAATAAAAAGCAGCCAGACAGACAGACATAGACAATTTTTTTTTTTTCTTTGTGTAGCCTTTGATTCAGTATTGTATATAATAAGTTGATTTTTTTTTTCAATTCAACAAAAACAAAAAATGCTTATTTAAAAGGAGCATCATGTGTCCCACACTAACGACTGCCCTGAACATACTGTATGTACAACCACTTTCTCAACATATTGTCATGAGAGAAATATTTCTTTTCTTTGAAAAAAGTAACAGATATATTATTAAACGTATATTCCTGAGATCACGAATACAAAGCTAAAAAACTAAATGAGCTAGTGGAAGATAAGGCTTTGTACACTCTCTCTAATTATCTAATTTGTTTCTCTGGCAAGCCAGTCAATTTGTGATAAGGTGTGGTTGTCCTAAACTGAAATTGGAGGTGAGAAATGTGGATACGTTTATTTTTATTCATGCATTTATCATCATGTTGTAACTGACTTAGTTTGAGTGACATTTGTGCTCTTCTGCCTAAGGACAGGGATCAGATCACAATGATTGCTATTGGAGCACATAAGCACCTGGTGTGAAATACTAACCTGGGTCATCGGACTAATTTTGTCCCACTTGTTCTTTTGAGGATTATAAACATCAACTTCAGCTGAGTCATCCCTGCAAATAGAAAGAAACTCAAGTCAAAGAGCTGCCAAAGCAACAAAACAATCTCAGCTTCAAATCTAACAACCCAGTCAAAACATGTTTATTTCTCTTTCATATGTAAAGACCAACCTCATCAACAGTCAGTAGCAAATTGATGTAATATTTGTTATATTAAATAACAAATGCAGAGCCCAAAGAACTAAATTTATCTTTCAACATGATCAACTGGATAGAAAAGATCAACACTAGTGTGTTCATGTGGTCCAGTGTCCCTCATTCTGTGAAAGTCTAAATCGGGTGGCACCGGGGTCGTTTTAGGTCATTGGCCGCAAGCAGCACAATTTGATCTCAAGTGGGCAGGGCAAGTAAAATCATTGCACAAGAGCTCATATAAAAAAAATCTCCTGAAAACAATGAAAACTCAATGAAAAAAAGGGATTTCAAATTACTTCTCTGCAACTTTGACCCTTTTTAAAAACCATTTATTAGACCCTTCAGGAGTATGCTTAACACTGTTGCTGTTAGCACATGTGGAAGAACGACTCAGATCCTGTACACATAAATCGTAAGGTAAGTATTTAAGATAAAAATGAAAAACAAGAGCAGTTTGAATTAAGTGCATTTAAATATAAATATACATTTACATAACTCAGGTTTTCAAGTAAAAATTACATTTCCCTTGAAGATAAAGTAGACGAATATAAAGAATACAGCTAACAAGTCTCCTCCTAAACAAACTACTTATGCGAATGTACTTAATTACATTCTGTCCCTGGTGTTTACAGTTTTAAAACTATAGTCTAAATGCAAAAAGTAAATTAAAGATGTAAGAAACAACTGGAAAAGATTCTACCTCACCTGACAAAGTAGATGAGGCCATTTAGGGTAACAGTTTTCGGTGTGAAGGACCACGGAGGCAGCTGTCCACAGTTGACCATGGTCCAGCGGTTGGTGTCTGCATCGTAGCTCTGGATGACCATGGTGTCCTCACCGGTCAGAGAGCCGATGGCATACAGGCGTCCGCTGCATGCGGTGGTGGAGCAGTTATCCATCGGATGCAGCATGGCTGGCAGGGCCTCCCAGCAGTCCAGAGCCTGATCGTAACGCTCTGTGCTGTCCGAAGCCACCACATACAGCTGGCCCTTCAGGATGCAGGAGCTGTGATATTCACGAGCCTTCAGCATGGGTGACACTTCTGTCCATTCGTTCACGCTGGACTTGTAGCGCCACACACCGTCATAGAGGCGGGAGCCATCAGAGCCACCTAAAGGACACAGATATGTGTCTTCTTGGTTAGAAATGGTCAGAAATATCATGAAATTGCACATATTTGCCAAATGCATTAATGAAGATTCATTGCATCTGCTGTAGATGAAAGCTGATTATCCTTATGGACCCCACAGAGGTCCATTTTGAGCCAGGGAAAACCCTGAAGTTAAATTTGATACAACCTAAACAGCCACGGTTAGGAAATCAGTGGTGTGGGATTTTATTTCTAAATTAGTGTACAAGGCAGTAATTGAGTCACAAGCCTAAAGCGAAGGTCTATGATGATTTCTCAAGAAGATATCTCACTGTTCAGACATGCTCAGTTACTGGTAATGATGGTGATGATAAAGATGACACCACTGCTGTTCTGTCAGCACACTGTGTCCTGACTCACTTCTCCTTGTTCACACAAAGTCAGTAGCCGTAGAGACTGCAGTTTATTAATAAACAGCAGATGATATTTTTCTCAAATCATGAAAGACCAGGAACAGCAAAATCAAAACAACAACCTCCATAATGCTAGAGCTGAGGCTTCTAAATACAAATGGTGATGTCACAATGGTTATGGCTATGGGCAAATAAAATGCTTGCCAATATCTAACCATTTTATGGTTAAGATGACTCAAATCTGTAAAAACCATGGTAACCAACCTTGGTGTCAAACTGGACTATGATTTTAAGCAAGATAAACAAGATAAAGATATATATTTATATTTAATGTGAGTTTTTACCAGTTGAGGCTTTAATACAAGGTCAAATCTGGGTCATATTTTAAAGTTTTTGAACATTTTATTGATGCTTTTATCATCTGGACTATTGTAACACAATTTATGTTGGCCTTAGCAATGCTTTATTATTTGCTTTTAAAACCTTTAATGTCACTGAGGTTTAGTGGACCAGCTCCTTCTGCTAGTCCCCCCAAAACAGAGGCAATCATCCCCAAACCGTGGAATCATTTCCCTGCCCATGTTAGGATGTCCAGCTAGTTGCCTGTTTTTAAAATGCGTCATAAAATAATTTTTTACTCAACAGCTTTTAACTGAGTATGAAAATGGTGTGTTCTAATCTTGTATTTTTTGTTTTTGTTTTGTTGTGGTGTTTTTGTACAGCATTTTTTCAAACACTGTTGTTTTTAAAAAAAAGTGCTAAATAAAACTGGATTGGACTGGATCAGCATCACAGCCTTACTTTTAATGTCTTCAGATAGCTTACCTGTAACATACATATCATTTCCAAGTGCTGCTATGCTGTAGCCTCCTCCCAGGTGGTCGGGGAATTCAGCCAGGTAGCGCCACTGTCCAGTATGAGGGTTGTAACAGTCCACTGTGACCAGCTCATCACAGTCCTGGTCGCAGCCTCCTACCACCACCAGGATTTCTGCCAATCCTGTGGATGGCCGAGGCCGCATGCGATGACAAGGTCTGTCGTGACGGTCGTATTCACAGGACTGGAAGCTACGCGCTTCATTCACCATACGGAGACAGGTAGGTGAAAGGTAGACAAGTGGGTCGCTCTCCACATGGGCCAACAGGAAGAACCTCCTGACAAAGGGGAGTCGGACTTGCTGGAGGAGCTCGGGCCAATAGTGTAGTCGTCGCTGGAGATCAGCCTTCACCCAACGCACTGCAATTTGATAAACTGTCTCCTCCTTGTCCACACAAAGCTCATCATCTGACACAAACTCAAGGAGGCGTTTCCATGGCAAGCGTTCAAAGTCTGTCCCTTTAGCTAGCTCCATTATGTTTTTGAGGACAAAGCGTCGCGCGCTGGCTGCCAGCTCTTTGCAAGCATAGGCCTCTGCAAAGTCCTGGATTTCTAAACAGTTGGAAACATCCAACCGCTGCTCCAGAAAAGCACAACATGCCTCTTTGACCGAGGGGAACTGAAACAGATCGGCCGTCTTCAGCAGCAGGTCCACGTTATCCTGAGTGACGGTGATCCGTCCTGTGTAACAGAAGTCCACCAGCAGACCTAAGAGCTCACCTGACACCTCGTGTAAAACAACCCGGTCCATAACACTCTCCCTGAGTGTCCCTGCAAACATAGCCCGGAAGTAGGTGCTGGCAGCGGCCAACACCGTGCGATGACAGTGGAACTCACGCCCCTCGGCACATAAAGTCACATCGAAAAACTTTCGTTCGGCACGCAGTTCGTGAATTCCTCGAAGCAGGTTGAAGGCGTGGGCCGTGTCGAAAAAAGGCAAGGTGGAAGGCTGTGTCTGCAATACTGGCTTTTCCATTTCTCCTCTTTTAGGGTCTCTCTTTTTCCAATAGTCGATCTCAAAACTCTGTTTTCATCTGAAACAGATCAACACAAGAAATGTAAGTCAAATCTCACTCAAAACACCACAAAGGGCTGCAGTTTTTAGCCCTTTGGTCAAAAACTATATATAAAAAAAACAACAACAGTTTTCTATAAGTTCATTTTTAAGAAAAGACTATCCGTCAACACAGGAAACTTGTTGCACATCACTTTACAAGTTGGTCACTAACAGACATTCCAGCCTCCAGTTACCAAGGGAATCCTCTAATGTATTTACCACCTTCTCATACATTTATGTCCTGTGCTCTCTTAGATAATAACTTTAATCACCTTAAAGTTGTGAATAATTTAACTTGGGACCCACCTACTGTCAGCTGTTATTTCACCCATCACCTCTTGAAGCCACTGACTGTCACTGACTATATAGCCTGTGGCTGCCATGCCACTGTTAGTCGTTTCCTGTGTGGCCCCTTAAGATTTTTCGTTTTTAGTCATGTGTGACCAAGAGAAACAAATTTTCACGAGTGTGGAACTGCAGGTAATGCAGATAATCATTCCATTTCCACAAAATTACAACAACTTGTAACAAATAGTTCTTACACCTAATTTCAGTTACCTAATAATGTTTTGCTCAACTTTCCATTTGTTTGCAAGACTACAAGTTTCCTCTGCTGTTTCTGGAAGTTATTATCATACCAAGACAGGGTTCAGATGTGAAGTTGAAGGCTTGTAAATTTGACTACTAGCTAAAAATGTAAGTCAATGGATGAGAAAGGAACCCACTCAAAACAAAACACACACACACACACACACACACACACACACACACACACACACACACAAAATCTGAATCTTTTGCTCCCTCAGACAGGAACATTTTCAGGCTAACTGGTTCAGAATATTTTTGTTGCTCTAAATTACAACACTGACATCAGCTGCTCTGTGTGAAATATACAGTCCCGAGTTAGACAGGAAAGATGTTGACGTTAGGGTAGAAAAATAAAATACAGCCTAAAGGAAAAACTGTAAGACCTGTAGTGAAGCTCACAAGTTTTATCCCCTAATCTCCCCTATAGGAAGCATTTTAGGGATGAAATTTCCCCCTAATTTCAAAAACCCCTACGGAGAAGATGAAAAGGATCTTTGAGATGTTTGCACGATGAATATGTACATTAAAAAAAAGTTACTAGTCATCTGACTAATCGCTGCAGTATACCAGTGTCAAGCATAGACAAACACTTAGCTGTCTATACTGATAAATTTAGTACTGGCTTTGACATTAAATGACATTCGGTGAAACTTCGTTATAGAAAACTGGTAAAAAATGAGTCATTCCCACAACAAGACAAGCAAATCTCTATAATACACAGTGATCATTACAGAAATAATAGTCATATGTGAGCACACCAATTATAATAATCAATGTAAAGTTTTTAGCTCAAATATATTCTTCTCCTACCTGATGAGCCTCCAGGCAACGTTTCACAAGCAAAGCGACAGAATTCAACGTCTAGAAAGCACGACAGCAAAGCTCAGCATGACTCTGAATACGAACAGCTCCTTAACTGTGTTTAAGACAGAGAGCCTGGCTGAGGTTGGGGTTTATAAATACACCAGCAGTGTCCATTTTCAGAGAAGGGTGGGGGGGGAAACACCTAACATGCAGTGGGCTGACGCTGTGGGGAGCGTGTAACCACCCCCCCTCCACACTGGTATGTCTCTGTGGTCAGTCAGTCTTTGAGAGAAAAGCCAGCTGAGCCTGGGCCTCCTCCAAACCTGGAGCACAGCAGCAGACCAAAACACAGCTTCCTCTCCTAATACCTAAAAACTTCTTAGCAAAGCAGCAAAGAATCACAGATCTGCTTGGATCACAGGACAAGACCCTCTGCTAGAAACATACTCGTAGTATGCGGGTCAGACAAATGACATAAATTGTGTAGTTTGGATAAAATTCAAAACACTTCCACTGACTTTACATATGGAAACTGCTAAATTAAAATGGTGATGTCATGCTGTCTTCAGTATTACATTTAAAGCAGTACAGCCTTAAAGAGATCCTACCGGACTCTGGAGCAATGTCCGAATTTGGCTTGTAAATTTGTTTGCATTAGTCTGTCCTCAAAAATTCCACTCTTAACTAAAAAAGAAGCTTCAGTGGCATGATCATTACTTCTCCACAACGCAAAGCCCCCAATTTTTTTTTGTGCCATTCAAAAGTACCAATATTTTGGCTATCCCGGATAGCTTGGGCCAGATATTTGTTTGATCCTGACTCAAAAATCTAAAGTGGAAATTGTGAACAGATCTATGCTACCAATTCATTCAGTTAAACGTCATATTGCTCTGTGTTTATTACGTCATATGCCAGCAGCAGTGAAAATGAATTGCTAGATGAAAAACTTAAAGAAAGGGTTCTGGAAATACTACAGTAGTTTTGTTGCTTGACCACCAGGACATCACCCGCTGCCTCAAGCTGACCACTTTCACCATCGCCATCTTAGTTACACTTTACAGCTACAAGATGAGTCTGACTGAGATAGAAGAACAAAGAACAAGGTAAGGGTTAATATTTTAGGAAAAATATCAACCACTCTCAGATTTCATTTGCTGTTTTTTTTGCTTATGAACTTTTTTCACATTTACTAAAACAATGGATTGCTAGCGGGAAAGAAAGCAGCATTTAAATAATGTATTTATGATTTGGACTCGTGATCAAAGGGCAATTTGAAGGCAACATATTGGCCTCTAAATCACTACAGACCAAGGAATTGATTAAGAAAATCATCAGAATGTAAGTCTTAACTGAAAATAATAGCTAGTACCAGGTTTGGTCAGAGATAAAATAACAAAAATAAAAATCTCCTAACATGGATGTATTAGATGTTTTTATACTGTTCGAAGAAACACGAGATAGTCTATCCATCAAATTGTGACTCTGGAAAAACAGATTAAACATTAAACAGATTAAATTCTGAAATAAACATATGGTAACAAATTCCTGCATCTCCTCTGCAGCTGCTTCCTGAGAAGTACAGTTTAACCCGTACCAGCATTGAATTTCAGTTATACAGTCCTATTAAATCACCAGGAGAACAAGACCAGATGGTAGGGTGGTTAATAGAAACCTGCATTAAATCTCATGCAAGATTCTTGTCAGTATTTGGAGATAATCATTCCTTCTCTAAACACACAGGTATCTCCTTACAGAGATTTGTTTAAAGGTTGTAATAAAGCCCCTATTCCTCTGGCCAAAGGATTTAGCTCACATTCAACACCAGGGTTCAACAATGCAGAGGTCCAAATAACTTTGCGAGGGATCAAACTCCTCTCCTGAAGGGCAGGCAGGGCCTCACAACTCAGCCTGCACTGAGAAAACACATGTCCCTAACTTCTGTGTAAGTGATTGTCATTATGTTTGAAGAGATTACGGCATTTTCTTCCAACAAACTGATGGGCTTTCATTTCACTCAGTCGTGAAACGATTTATTACTCCCACTGTCTCTACTACAAAGACTGAAAATATAACATTCAGATCTCCCACTTAAACAACTACAAATACTTTGTTCTGCTAAGTGGAAAGAGGTGAAACTGAAAATGTACACACATATTTACCTGAAATATTTTACCTTACTAAACATACAGTAAGGCACAAATAGATTTAAATAGTACAGTGCAAAAGTCTTTTGCCACCCCTAATTTATTTATATTTTGCTAAGGAAATGGGAAACCAAAGAGCATCTTTGAGTTACAGCAGACAAAGCACTAAATGCAACCACAAAAATATTTTAAATGAAGTAGAGGGCTCAACAAAATAAAAGATGCTGAAAATAATAATAATTAAAAAAACTAACAAAAAAAGTAAAACTGTAAATAAAATACAATAAAAATCCAGTGAAACAAACTACATTTTTTTAAAATAAAGTGACTGCAAGTTAACTTGAAAAAGTTCAATAAAGCAAACATACCGCCCCCTCCAAAACACAAGGCTTACTAAATGTAGAATGCAGACTATTGAGCAACTTATACTCAGTGTGTTTACCAACAGCCCAAGAATAGCTGACAGAAATGTGTAGTGCGTAGGGAGGCAAACAGCCGAGGTGTGGAAACAATCTTAATGCTATGAGTAAAGAGCACAGAGAGACCAGTCCAACAGCCAAGGTATGATAGCGACACCGCCCTAAAGCCCCCCTGCCCTTGTGAACCAGTCAGGTTTTAGACAGAACCACAGCACTGAAACTGCTCTGACCAAAGTGTTTAATGACATATGTCTGAATACAGACAGTGGAAAATGTCAGTATTAGTTTTACTGGATCTCAGTGCAGCATTTGATACAAATGACCACAACATATTAATCAAACCACTGCAGAACTGGGCAGGTCTTTCAGGAAGTGTACTAAACTGGTTCAAAACATACTTAGAAAACAGGAAATACTTTGTATTTTTTCCAATAGGTAACTTCACATCTATGCAGACAAGTATCACATGTGGAGTTTCACAAGGTTCCATCTTGGGATCCCCTCTGTTTAACATTTACATGCTCCCACTGGCACAGATTATAAAGAACAACAAAATAAACTATCATAGCTATGTAGGTGACACACAAATATATATCACAATGTCACCAGGAGACCGAGGCCCTGTACAGGCTGTTGGTAAATGCATTGAGGAAATTAATGACTGGTTGTGCCACAATTTTCTCCAGCTAAACAAAAACAAAACTGAAGAAATAGTCTTTGGTGCCAAAGAAAAACGATTACAGGCCTCCAGAGAACTTCAATCTATACACCTAAAAACGACAAACCAGGAGAGAAATTTGGGTGTAGTGATGGATGCAGACCTAAACTTAGAAAAACACATTAAGACAGTAACAAAATCAGCTTACTATCACCTCAAGAATATATCAAGAATAAAAGATCTGATGTCTCAACAAGACCTGGAAAAACTAGTCCATGCATTCATCTTTAGTAGGCTTGATTACTGTAACAGCATTCTTACAGGTCTGCCTAAAAAAAAAAAAAAAAAAAAAAAAAAAAAAATCAGTCAGACAACTACAGCTCATTCAGAACTCTGCTGCTCGAGTCCTCACTAAGACCAAAAAAGTGGACCACATCAGTCCAGCTCTGAGGTCTTTACACTGGCTGCCTGTCCGTCAGAGGATAGACTTTAAAGTTCTGATGCTGGTCTATAAAGCTCTGAATGGTTTAGGACCAAAATACATCAGTGACCTCCTGACCCAGTATGAACCTTCCAGATCCCTCAGCTCATCTGGATCCGGTCTTTTATCAGTTCCCAGAGTCAGAACCAGACACGGAGAAGCATTTGAATAAAACACCAAATCCACACTTTTAAGCTTAAATTTCAAAACTTACATTTTAACTACTGATTTTATCTCGTTCTTTCGGTCACTACCCAAAATAACGAGATCACGGATACGAGCTTCCGCCGAAGGGTGGCTGGCCTCTCCCTTAGAGATAGGGTGAGAAGTTCAGCCATCCGGGAGGGGCTCAGTAGAGCCGCTGCTCCTCCACATTGAAAGGAGCCAGCTGAGGTGGTTCGGGCATCTGACAAAGACGCCTCCTGGGCGAGGTGTTCCGGACATGTCCCACCGGGAGGAGGCCCCGGGGCAGACCCAGGACACGCTGGAGAGATTATATCTCTCGTCTGGCCTGGGAACGCCTTGGTGTTGCCCCGGAGAAGCTAGAGTAGGTGGCTGGGTAGAGGGAGATCTGGGCTTCTCTGCTTAGGCTGCTGCCCCCGCGACCCGGCCCCAGATAAAGTGGAAGAAGATGGATGGATAAAACTAAACTCATGAACTAAAGTTATAACAACAAATGATAATAATGTTTGTCAAAAGCTATGCTAAAAATGCAGGACGGCTGACATATTTAATAAATGTATCATATCTATTCCTTCAAATGGTTGTTCTCGTATCCAGGAGACGTGTCTTCAGACAAACAATTAGAACAACTGTAAATAGAAACTCTGAGGTTACTTTGACATCTAAATGAACCCAGTACACTGAATCAGAGTTCAAACATCCTGTAATGAGGCACAGAAACCACAGCCATAATAGCAGCTCTGTGAGACTGTACTGCACAGGTCTACTTTGAGCTAAATCATATCAGCTTGCGTGGCTGGTATGAGGTTTAACATGTTCACCATCCTTCATTTGCAAATGAGCAACAAAAACAAACATCTTTTGGAAGGAGATGAATAAATTAGTTTTCCCAGATCTTAAACCCAATTAGCAAAGAAAACTTTTAGGCTTAGTATTGGTGCAACAAGATTAGTACAAGCAATCTTAAGGGGACTCCTACATCACCTAAGTAACAATAAAAGCATGCTGGTTGAAAAAGAAGACAGTGGCAATAAAATAAAGAATTAATAATTAACTAAAAGAGCCAGAAAAGCCATTATCACTATCACAAAACTAAGTAATGCAGAGCAAAACGCAGAAGCTGGTTGAAATAGCAGTAAGTCACAATCTTAACCCACAAACACACAGTTGAGATATTGCCAAGAGAATAGCACTCTATCATCAGAACTCTCCTCTGACTGGCAATAAGCACTCCAACCCTAATTGGTGATGGAAATCAGCTGCACAGATGGTGGAGCGTGAAAACAGACACACCCACACAGGTAAAACCTGGGAAGGCCTGCTAGAGCTGCAACACAGACTAAGCAGATTTCTTGGCAATCTATCCAACAAATATCAAGACATTTTATTTGATGCACAGGATCAACTGGTCCATTGTTTGTTCAATATAGTTTCATGAGACAAAGCTCTTATTGGACATTTGCCGTTGTTACTTTAATACGAAAATTCGACATTGATTCATTAATTTTGGCAGCAGCAGAAACAGACAGAAAAATGGGCATCTCTGGACCTTAGCATACACGGGTAGTTACTACTTATTTCATGTTTATATTTATAGAATGCCTTCTTGGAGTGTGCTGACAAGTCAAAAAAGATGTCTTTGTAGCTGCATTTTGCTGAATAGATGAGCAAAAAGATTACATATTGTAGCTCAATCACCAATTCATCTTCTGTTTATCTAGGTCACAGGGGAACCAGTCTAAAGCTACCTTTAAGCTATATTATGTGTTTAACTGTTTTGTATTTTTCCCATAGCACAATTTCATCATCCGTTTCGTGAAATCAGCCACTCTACTGCAGATACACACATCCATGTTTGTGATTAGTCAGATGCTAATGCAAGCACTGCACCTTTTCATGTGAACATGCAGTTAACCCTGGGGTAACTTAGCGAGTTTATAACCAGCTCCGCGTGACTGCTTATCCCGACAGCCGATGTTGAGGTAAGTGATTCCAGATAACAGAAAGATACCCTGGGTATGGTGAACTCGTTTTGTAGTACAGACAGTACATAATGTAGTACATAACAATATTCAGGTTCATGCAGTTTCAGCCAGAACCTGGCAGGATAACAACCACACAAAGACAGCTTCCCTCTCTCTGCTGCTGCTCCAGGCTGTTGAGGCAAAGGCAAACATCAGAGTGGAGTGACATGAATGTCTTGGGTTGTCCACAGCTGAGGCTGTGTTGGCCTTAAAAAGGCAAACACCACTACTCCTCTACAGAGGAGGGCCAGCATGAAGCTACTAGAAGGATTAACATTTGGATGCAGGATATTATGAGATTTAATGGATTCTTGTATGTTGCTGCAGCAGAAACTGATCTAAACAGAGTGGTTTCACTCTTGAAATTACACAATTACAAGACAACATGTTTTAACCAACAAAAAGCATCCAATTACCTTTGCTTTTCAGTGACATAGGTCATTAAATATGCCAGAGATATGTTTTTGGTTTGCTTATTTGTTTTATTCCCCAGATGAAAAAACTCACTCATCCTCACATTTATACATACAGCCAATTTATAATTACCAAATTAATCAAACCTGTATTCGGACTCACTAGCTGACCAGCAAAACATTTCACGACTCTGAATTTCTTCATGTCAGGTGACATAGCTAACCACTACACTTCCCACAAAACAGTTAATAACCATTTCAAATATAATAGTCAAATTTCATGATGAGATCATTAGAAGTCCCTCTTGAAATTATGTCCATGAAGAATGGATTGGTGCAACTTCAGCAGTGACCCTGATGTTATACGAAGAACAGAACACAGAACGCGTTTAGTTTACAACTAAAGTTATGATCGCTGATTGTTGTGGCTGTGTTGTGTTCACCATTTGGGCATAACATGAGACATGACTCCTGGATTAAAGGACACATCTTATTTTATTGGGCATGTTCCACATTATCTGTGCATGCAAAATTTATTATCAGCTTATAAAATACGACGCAACTTTAAAGATTAGACTTACCAGCAACTATATTTTAAATGTACAGTTATACCAGTCCTTTTATGTCTCTATTTTTCCACTAATGTGCCCTGCAAGTGGCACTTTCAGTGAAAGAATCCATCTGTTGCCAAATGAATAATCAAGGCATTATTCATTAACTTGTGCAGGGAACAGTGGGCAGAATGAGTTTAAGTGCCATGCAGAACATTTGTTTCTGCATTATGACTCAGCCTTTACTGGCAGGAATGACTTCTCCAAATAATGTTCTTTCATCTGTTCCCTCGAATTCCTCTAATTCGTGCTCCTGTAATAAAACTTGCACAAACACTTTTATCACTCAGCTCGTGCAGCCATACATGTCCACATTACTGAGCACAGTGAGGCTTTAGTCCTGAAATGCTTAGGAGGAAAAAATGTTCCCTCCTCCCTCTCATAAGCCGTGCTTGGTCCAAGATAATATTCAAATGGTCTAGATAATGTTCAGCCACAGTTCAGATACACTGACAGGTCCAGAATAGGGTCGATAACAACTAAAGCAAACCTATTAACATAATGGGAAAATACACTGATGGAAACTGTTAGCAACTTCTGTGTAGCCAATTACTTTCATGTATTGACTTGTTTATGTTGTTAAAAAGCATTTTCATTAGCATGTGGTGTTTATAACAATACATAAGCTGCATGCAGAACGCTATTTGAATGCGAAAGCTCCCATTTTAAACAGTCAACACCGCCTGCGATCATCAAAGTAAAGTCATATTTATACGAACGACATTTTTCCAACGTTACAGCTAACGTTGGGCTGCCCGCCGCTCGGAACAAGTAACTGTCGTGAAAAGCAGGCTGGCTCAGTTTTAGACAACTTACCGATATGTGTCGTCAACGGGTGGTGATGATTTTACAGGGTGTAACGCCCGAACATCTTAGAAATAGAGCCGAAATTAAAGTTTGACGCTGCTGATCTATCTGGCCTCCTCTGCGCCATGACAGCCTGTACCGTAATGAATGCTGCCTTCAAGTGCTGTCGTAAAAAAGGGCTTCGAACGCAACACCAGGAAATCTTCCACACGAGACGAGACGCTATAATAAAAAAAATAAAACAAATGTTTATTGTTTTTACTGAATTGTACATATATGGATTCTTAACAAATAAACATTATTTTCTGGGGCATGTACAAATAAAATTCTCATCACAAAATCTGAAGAATAGAATAGCCCTTTATTGTCATGGTACATCAAAACGAAATTAGGGTTACTCCACACCAACTGTGCAGGAATAAAATATAAATAGTAAGACAGCAGGAATAAATAACAAACAGGAGAAATTTATATAATCAAGAGGAATATATACAAAACAAGAGAAAGGCAATGATAATAGAAGAGGCACACAATGGTGAAAAAAGTGCTGGAAGTAGTGCAAAGGACTTGATTTAGTGTCTATATGTGAGTGGCCTGAGTGATAAGGAATATTCATATCATGGCTGAGATTGGTGAGATGAGTGGGCAGGGGTGGGGTGTGGGGGGGATAATATTTGTTAACAGTCCGAATGGCACAAGGGAAGAAGCTGTTTGTGAGTCTGGAGGTGTGGGACCTGATTGACCTGAGGCACCAACCAGAAGGCAGCAAGTCAAACAGGTGGTAGGTGGGGTTCAAGGGGTCATCTGTGATGGCCCTGGTTTTCTTGAGACAGAAGGATGTATATATTGCGCCCAGGGACGGCAGAGGGCAGCCATGATTTTTTGGGCCATGTTAATTACCCTCTGCGAACCCTTCCTTTCTCAGTAGTGGCCCCTGTGTACCAAACACCCAGGCAGTAGGCGAGCACGCTCTCCACTGAGGAGCAGTAAAAGGCCAGCAGCAGCTTCCAGTTCAGCTTATTCTTTGTCAGGACACAGAGGAAGTGCAGCCGCTGTTGGGCCTTCTTTACCAGGGCGATTCATAACACAGATGGTATGATTCAAAAGCATGATTAGTTGTGGCAGTGGTTTTGTGGGGCATGTCCCACTGGTTTGGGTGCTGAGCCACTGCGGGTGGGTCTTGGAGCATTAATTTGTAATGATTAATTATTAACAAATTGTTTGATGTGAAGTTTTCTTAAGCAGGCTGTGCCCCTGTGGCTCTGAATTGTCAGCAATGATCATAAACAGAGAAACACATGATCAGATAATGATAAACAGAGAAGAAACCAGTTCAGAGACTTCATGTGGATAGGAGAGAGAAGAAAAGTTCTGGGGCTGGACCAAATAGGATTCTATAATGAGAATGATGAGAAAACTAGTGCTGGCAAGTTCAGAGTGTTTTCTTTTATTGTTTGATTTTGGGCAGTAATAGAAGAGAGGGGACGAAGCTGTAAGGATACTAATAACATAGGTAATATGTTTTTCACACTTTCTCACTGTGCCCCCTGGTCAGACTTGTGCAAATGTTAAAAGTTGTTTTTTTCTGTTTTGTATGAGTCCTACTTGTTTTTCTCCTTCTCAGAAAGGAGAAAAAAAATGTCTACTGCAATGCTATAAATAAATAAATAGATAAACAAATATCCAACCGTCCACAATTCTGCAGAGGTGCTTCATTTCAGGTGGAGTTCTAGCTGAAAAACTTTAGAACAGATTTACTGAAATCAGTATTTAGAGAATCAGTACTATGAGGTTGTCCTTCACTCTAGTTAAATTTTATTTGCAACTAATCAAAATTGTAAAGTTTTTCTAATCTCACTCCGGCCTAGTGCTATAAATAGATCTTACATCTATAAAAACCTTATTACATGGTGCTGGTGCTGAATTTAAGGATGTTTTCTCAACTAGAAATAAAAAATAAATGCCAGGGCATGAGGGATTTAGTGTTCCTGACTTGACACATGGATTATGTGCAGAAACTGGGGTTTCAGTGACGCCTTTGACAGTGCGAAGGACATTACATAAGGTGTGCCTCAACTGACAAGAAACCCACTGGTCACAAAATGGCACAAAACTGCAAACATAAGCCTTGAGCATAACATACAAAATGAAGAATGTTTGAAAAATTACTGAAATGATAACTTCCAGTCTTGAGAAGCTTTGCAGGGCAGGATTTCTCCAAATGAGACCTGAAACATATGCAGAGATGATAGCTGTATCATCTCTAAGTATAGCACACAGTCAAGCCTATGAAGGGATAAATCAGTATAAATGACTACCCAGGCAAACAGAAGGGCAATGAAGTTAAGAAAAGCATTTGAAATACAATAGCTGGAGTGCAAAAGCAATCTTACAAAGAGTGACTGTGGACCACTGGAATATATACCAAAAAGTTAATAAAGTGAATGATAATATTTCTAGGATAAAGGAGCTGGTGAGGAGAGGTCGTGAATGGATAATGCACAAACTTTGACATTATGAATAAATGCCTGCAAAGCCACGGTGATTTTAAAGAAAAAAAATGGAATCTATGATTTAGTTAAGCATGTCCACAGAATTGAATCCGAAACAAGATTATCATGGGCAGAGATGGGCAGTAACGCGTTACTTGTAACGCGTTACTGTAATCTGATTACTTTGTTCAAGTAACGAGTAAAGTAAGGGATTACTATTGCAAAATCGGTAATTAGATTACCGTTACTTTCCCGTAGGAACGCTGCGTTACTGCGTTACTAAAACCGTGATTTTTTTTGCGAGAATGTCTCATGACAGTGACGTAAGCAAGTGCGACGTTGGTGACAGCAGCTGTGTGCAGATCAACAATGGATAATATATCGAGTGCGGGAGAGAGTATGAGCGTGCAGCGTTTAAAGTGTGGAAGTACTGACCTTACTTTGAGTTTGATTCCATAAAAAGTGACAAAAACATTAGCGTCCATCGTGCGTGGGAAGAAAACTTCTTTTTACAGCGAAAAAAACCCCTAAACTTCCAAGCAAGCACCGAGTAGCTACGACGTGATGGGAAACTCACAGAGACACTCGCGCGGATTCTTCAACTGACCGCAGCACACCTGCACCAGGGTAACCCTCCGCCTACCCTGCTCCTACTTTACAGGTGAAAATAGAGCAAAAGGACCACTGAGTCTTTGACTTTATTTATTTTCTGCTGTGTTTTACTTGCATCTGTTTGAAAGAGTGAGTGAAAACACAAAAAATATTTTATTTTATGTGCTGGAATGTGTAGAAAATAGGTTTAAATGTTAAACTAATTTATTCAAGTCAGAGAATGTTGCATATAATTAAATGTTTTGCTTGATGCATAAAGTTAAAAGATTAAAACTGATAAAACAAGTTTTAAAAAAAAGAGACTTTTCCATTTGATTACATTTTGTATGATGGATTATGTAGAAAAAGTAGAATTGGGCTGAAAGATCTATCACTTTATCACCTCTTCAGGTTGTAAATCGTGTTTTTAAAAAGTAACTAAGTAACTAAGTAATTAATTACTTTTGAAAATAAGTAATCAGTAAAGTAACGGGATTACTTTTTGGGGGAGTAATCAGTAATTAGTTACTGATTACTTTTTTCAAGTAACTTGACCAACACTTATCATGGGTCACATCTCTCATCAGTAATAATGGAGTACTTTACAGGCAAATAAGGATGAATTTAGGATATACTTACTTATTGCTACTGCTTCTGAATTCTTACTCTAGGTATCCAAACATTTAGTTGTTTTATATCAAAACAGTATCAGAGTGTATTTATTTTTGTTGTAACAACTTTAAATAAAAATTTCCATAACCTTTGGAATAATGCTGTGTTTGCTGTCTCAGTGGCTCGTTTTTCAAACTGTGAACTTGAAATGTTGAAATCCCACCAGTCTTCCATATGCCCTGCAGACGCTCTCCCTCATCTTATAATTAAAACCAAAACCAAGCATCATCAACATTTTCCCTCACCCATCGTCTCCACTTGGAAAATAAACGTTTGCCTTTGGGAGTATTGTGCAAATAAAAAATTATTATGTAAAACTATAAGCAGTTTTTTGTAAATACAAACAACTCATAATAAATACTTCAGTCAATGTGCTACGGTTCTGCCTCAGCCTAACCAGATAAAACTGTCAAGGAAAATGGACGTGAAATTGTCCTTTTTAAATTCATATGATTCCCGTGTGAAGCAATAAATTAATCTGGTCCTCTAAGTCACTTGGCACCAATTTCAAGCAGCAGAACCCTCACAGAGAAAATCCGCCAAGGCTTTCACAATGTTTAACTCAATAAACTGCTTAAAATTCAGTCCATGGAGGACACAGGTACATTTATCTACCTTTGTGGTTTGCTGCTGAGAGGGGGATCATGAGGAGCAGAGAAAAAGATGATGGCCTGGAATGTAAAACAAAGAGCGAAATAACCCTTTGCTGGGCAATTAGGAGTGACCCACTGTTGAACTTCCTCTGGCCTCACTGTGTCCCTCAGGCACTGTAGAGGTGGGAACAGCTGACACACATCTTCCATGGGGGTGACATTGCACAAATGCTGCCGAATTATATGCTTACAGACAGTCTCGTAATAATTTATACTGACATTTTACACCACTCGGCTCGGATTTGGTAATTAAAATTTGACTGTGACACTCGTCCTCACAGGGAACAAGTGAATACTGTAAGATTTTGGCCCCCAAAAATATTCCTCAGACATAGTTTCAAAAAGGAATCTGACATTTTTGGAAATGTCAGATATGGAGAGGAAAAAATTCCACCTCTTGAGTTTACTTAATTAAATACCATTTATGCTCATTATCTTCTTCTTTTTGAATCGTTAGCTGCTAAATGTTTTGGTACATTTACCAATAAGTGATTCAACACTGATTGACCAGTAGAATGGGATGTTTTTCTTTTTCTTTTTGAAAACAGATGATAAATTCTCATTTTTTTGTCTTGATTTATTCAAGATAAATATTGAAAAGAAAATTTCAGAAAACTCAACCCACTGTGATGATCATGATCTCATGAGAGCGAACCAAAAGGCTTGTTAGAAGGAAAAAAACCCATCACTTTACACCACTTCACTCACTAGATGGAGACATTTTA